AACTCATCCTTTTTTATGGCTGCATAGTATTCCATGGGGGTATATGTGCCACATTTTCTTAATCCAGTCTGTCCTCCATATTATCTGGAAGGTGCCCCTAACCCCCACATTGTTCAAGAGTCAATATAAATGAACTTTGAAAACATATACTATCAGCATGGATATAGCTGGAGGCCATTATCCTAAGTGCATTAACACAGAAACAGAAAACCAAATACTGCATGCTCTTACTTACAAGTGTGAGCTAAATATTGGGTACTCGTGAACAGAAAGATGGCAACAATTGAAAGTGGGGACTACTAGAGGAGGGGAGAGGGAGGAGGGGAAAAGGTTGTAAAACTAACTATTGCATACTATCCTCAGTACCTGGGTGATGGGATCATTCATATCCCAAACCTTAGCACCACACAATATACCCAGATAACAAGCCTGCACATGTACCCCCTGAATCTAAAATAAAAGTTAAAAAAAAAGAGAAAGAAAGCATATGCTATGTAGAAGAAGTTAGACACAAAAAAATACAATATGATTACATTTATATGAAATGTTCAAAAGAGGCAAATTCATACAGACAGAAAGTAGATTCATGGTCGTCAGTAGTTAGAGAGAGATGGAAATGGAGAATAATTGCTCACAGGTACAGAGTTTCTTTTGCGGTCAAGAAAATGTTTTGGAATTAGAAAGTGATGGTTGCACAACTTTCTGAATACACTAAAAATCACTGAACAGTACACTTTAAAAGGGTGAAATTTATGGTATATGAATTATGTCTAAATTTTTAAAACTACATCTAATTAAAAATACTATAAGGCATCCAATTTTAGAGATATTAAAATGTAAAAAATGTGATACAAAGAAATTTGTTTCATCAAAGCATTTAGAAATACGCCATTGATAAGGGTGTCTGCATTCATGAAGAGTTCTTTGGTAGCTGTTCTCTGCAGACTTGGGGGTTAGGAAAATATGTTGGTGTTGAAATGGTCTCCCTAATTTCAGAAAGAATAAGACGAACCTCAGGGACAGAGGCCAAGCAGAAGTCTTTAAATAGCAAGGACAAAATGATGTGGTTAGGCAACAGAGATAGTGTGGTATTAAGAATAATACAGGGATTGACACTGCAGGGATTTAGAAGGACTGATTAACTGAAGTTAGGATTTCTATAACTGAAATAGATGGGCAGTCCAGTTGTGTACATCTGAAAACTCCAGCGGCACGACTTAAGATTTCACAAAAACTGGTGGTCCCTCATCCAATTCCATACATGATTTAATTCATAGATCCAGAAGTCATTGAAGAAAAACCTAACTACCTTTGAGAAAGGACCTTGCACATATTAATCTTTTTAACCTTGCCTTGTTTTCCCCCTCATTATATCTTTGCCCAATTTTCTTCACTTATTTTTATATTATTATTTATACTATACATCATAAGTGGCTTGAAACCCTTTTTAAAACTAGAGAGACTGAAAACTAAAAACTTGAAATCCAGATAGTCATTTTTAAATGTCATTTTTAAATATTTATTTTCTAGCCATTCTCTTGAACAAGAAGTATTCACTTACCTTTGGACTTTTGGAAATGTGGACTTTCTTTCATTTTAATTAAGAAATCTTTTAAATCCACCTCCATATTATCTGAAAGATCAAAGTCAAAAATGCTGACATTAAAAACCTGATACTGAGTCGGCACATGAAATAAAGACCGATTTACAATAGTTAGCTAAAATTTCACTCTAGCTCAAATGATTGAAACTATTTCAACAGAACTTTTAACACTTTTTAAAACCACCCAGTGAACAGTTAATAATATTACTAGCAAACAATAGCTAACATTTTTTAGCTCCTTATATATACTAGGCACCCTTTTATGGTGTTTTACATATATTAAATCATGTAATCTTCATAATAATTCTATGATGTGGGTACTTTTTGCATGCCTATTTTTGAAAGATGAAAGCAAATGGAAACTAAATAATTTGTCTAGGTCACAAAGTCAGGAAGTGTTAGAGGTTGTGTTTGAATTTATGCAGTCTAAGGCCAGAGGAGACAATGTTATTAGATAGAATACACACATACATGCACATGTACACGTACACACACACACACACGCATGCACACACACACACAGTCACACGTGAAGTAACGTGCAATAATGTGACACAGCAGACAATCTAGGGCTGTAATTATATTAAGGAGACTTTGAGTTTAAACAAAATGGCAGACCTGGGTAGTGCAGAAACCATCCCACTACAAATCCCTAGAGACACTCTGTAACATGTAACATTCCATGAATGTGTGACTGAGTCATATGAAGGAAATAACAAAGAGTTAACTGGGAACTGAGATCCAGAATGCTAAGCATTGAGTACTAACACTAAAACTATCTTTGGGATAGAGATGAGACCCAAAAATGGCTAGGTGCTTGATTTAAATGCTCATACAGAGTCATTAAAAAAAAGATTCGAGCCCACATAAATAAGAGTAGGAACTCAGATATCAAATAAAACTGAAATGCTTAAAGGGTTTCAATCCTGGTTTTTTAAAAAGAGATTAAAATATTATATTTATTGACTCAAATAAACAAGGAGGCCTAAATCTTCCCAATTCAGAGAGACAGGGGAAAAAACAATCTCTTGTGATAAACTGAAGGCCCAGTATGCATCTCATGTGGGTGTGAAGTCTAAATTTATACCAGTCTGATGGTGTGAGAAAACTGAGGTCAAAACATAAAAATTGACCTAGGTGAATAACAATCTGGGGAACCTGGCAAAATCAATAACTAAACTGTACTGGAGAGGTATTCTTAAACCTAGGACTCACAGGATTCCCAAAGACACAAATTGGTTAAGATAAGCCCAAAATAAAAGTTCACCAAAAACCAACAGAACTCAGCAGCTTCTAGAAGTATTCCCAAATGATTTGACTTCCTAAAAGTAAATGTGTATAGGAAAGGAGATCAAGTACGTATTACATGCAGTCAAAGACAGAAAACAAAGGTAAATGTGGACTATTTGAAAACAATCACTAAAACTAAATAACTTATTTTTAAATGTAGTGAGCCCTCAGATATTTCATTTGGTTAAAAATCAAAATGGAGCAAGTACTGTAAGAAAACAAATGAAAGCGGATCTCCTCTGAAAAAGACTGCATATCAAAATAAGCTGCTATTGTCATGTTTTTATTTTATTACACAATTTATGGTATTTTTCCACCCATGCTTATAAGTAATGAAAGTAATTTTCTAAATAAGCACGTATAGTATCCATATGAGTATGAATAGATATGTTCAATAAATATTTAAATTAGTAGAGTGGTTTGGCTCCAATTTGTATCAACCTAAGCCTCCAACAGAAAAATGACTCCCATTAGTATATTATCCTTATAGGTATACTCTAAGACTATTTTTCATAAGTAGAAAAAAAAATGAAAAGAATCTCAGGCCAAAAAAATGCTCACCACTGACGTTACAACAGTTAAGGGCTCCATTGAAGTCCTCCTCAGTTAAATTAACATTCAAACATTTCAAGGCATGCTCCAAATCAGGTACACCAATCTTGCCATTATCAACATGTGACAAGATGTTAGCAACTTCTTTAATCTCTACAAAGATAAATGTATACAAGCTATTATGGTGTAAAAAACATTCAAAATAATTTGTCCAAAATTTACCATAGGTAAACCTCAAATTAAATATTTATCTGAACCAAAATGTCTCCAAAGGAAACACAATATTTTCTATTTGTAACTGAGGGCCCACTTCCCTCAAGCAGCACTTGAAACGAAAAAACTTTACGACAAAGAGAATAATACGATGGGCTACTGACAAGTATTATAATAAGACTTTATCTTCATTCATTCATCCATTAGAAACTGAATGAGCTACATGCCTCCCTGTACATGTAGATCTAAAGATTTCTACCACTTGATGATGTAAACAAAGGCTAAAATTTGAGATTGAAGCTCTTGATCCCCAGGGCCTCAGATAGTTCACACTGTGCTTTTGTGTGAATTGGGAAAAGGCACCTCCTCTCTATGCATTAGTTACAAAAAAAGGGTACCTTTCAGTAGGCAACTGCAATCCAGCACAGAGGTTCAAGGCTTGGAGTATGAACTGCATTTCAGCCTCCATTTATGCTCTCTTAACAGGCACCTTTGTGCAAAGCACAACCCGCACAACCACATGGGGAAGTCCTGTTGATCTCACACCAATTTAAAATATAAAGCATAATCATTATGTGGTTTTTAATTTTTCTGTTTTTTGTTTGTTTGTTTTTGTTTTTGAGATGGAGTCTCACTCTGTCACCCAGGCTGGAGTGCAGTGGTGCTATCTCAGCTCACTGCAAACTCTGCTTCCTGGTTCACACCATTCTCCTGACTCAGCCTCCCGAGTAGCTGGGATTACAGGCGCATGCCACCATACGTGGCTAATTTTTTTTATATTTTTAGTAGAGATGGGGTTTCGCCATGTTGGCCAGACTGGTCTCAAACACCTGAGCTCAAGTGATCCACCAGCCTCAGCCTCCCAAAGTGCTGAGATTACAACCGTGAGACACCACACCCAGCCTAGTTTTTCATCTGTACCATTTCTCAATCCTTTTTTCCCTCAACCCCCAAATGAAGTTGTCTATGTTTCCATATGCTGAAAATCGTTGCATTACACCAGGAGATCTATACCTTCATGGAGATCACTTGGAAAGAACATCACAATATCATCTGAGACCTACATTCATTCTACTAACAGTTATTTTACAACTTCTAAGATCAACAATAAAATATTCAGTCAGTCCCTCGTATCAAAGAGTTTCAAGTAAATTCCTTGATGAAGGAGACTAAATCTGTCATATCTATAAACAAAATTATAATATGTCATATTGTAAGTGATATGAGAAAAATACACAAAATTATGGAAGCACTGAGAAAGTTTACCTAACCTAGATTTAATAAGTGCTGAACTCTGGGAAGGAAGTCTTAGGGCATGAGAAATGACATTTGAGCTGAATTTGGGGGGGAATTGTCAGTTTGTCTGTCAGAGAATGTATCCAAAGGAAACAGTATATGCAAATAAATGCAAAAACAAATAGAGCCAATTTAAATTATGCTAAGTAGTATGACTACAGAATAAATACAAACACAGAAGTGATAAAGGGTGCGTCTGAAGAGATAAGAAGACAGATCTACTCAGTCATTCGTTCAATAAATATTCATAATTATGAGTTAATAACAAAAGATTTGGAACAACAGCATAGTAAATATTACATAAGTATCAGGAGTTAATATCAATTATCTTTAAGAGTTTAATAAGAGCCAGGACTGTGCTAGGTCCTGGAGATACGATGGTAAGCAAAGTGGAGACATATTCTTTGGCCCAATGATACCAGGCAAGTGGGAGGAAGAGATATCAATCAAATAATCAAAAACAAAAATGGATATTTATAATATGAAATAAGTGCTATGAAATGGACAGAATTTAATAAGAGCATATAACAAAGGAAACAAAAAGATCTGACCTATACTGACCACTGATGATAGGCTTTTCTATAATTGACTCATGGAGTCAAAAGAGATTATTCTCCAGGTTTAAGACTTAATGTTGTTTTCCCTTTTTGGTTTCGGACTAACTTGGGACCAATTATCCCTTTCTTCTCACTCATTTCTCCCTCCTGGAATGGATATGTCTATCCTATGCCTGTGTTTTGGAAGCATGCAACTTGCTAATTTCACAGGCTTACAGCTGGAGGAGAATTTGCCTCAAGATGAATTGTGCCTTGAGTCTCACCCATCTGACAAAGATGAGACTCTGGAATTTGGACTTTTGAGTTGACACAGAAACAAGTTAAGACTTTTGGGGCTACCAAGATGGAATGAATGTATTTTGCACGTGAAAAGGGCATGAATTTTGAGGGCCAGGGGTGGAATGCTATGGCTTGATTGTGTCCCCCAAAGTTTATGTGCCGAAAACTTAATCCCCAATGCAACAGTGTTGACAAGTCGGGCCTAATAAGAGGTGATTAAGTCACAAAGGCTCTGCCCTCATGAATAGATTAATATCAGTGATTCAGTTATTGCAAGAATGGGCTTATTATAAAAGTAAGTTCAGTCTCCTCTTGCTCTCTTGCTCTCTCAAACTTTCTTGCCCTTCTGCCTTCTGCCATAGTATGACACAGCAATAAGGCCCTCACTAGATGTGGGCCTCTTGACCTTGGATTTCCCAGCCTCTAGAATTGTAAGAAATGAATCTTTCTCTCTCTCTCTCTTTTTTTTTTTTTTTTTTTTTACAAATTATCCAGTCTGTGGTATTCTGTTACAGCAACACAAAACGGATTACAACAGTAGGCAAAGAGGATCAGGGAAGAATATTCCAGGGAATAGAATATGCAAAAGTCTTGTGGTGGGAGGAAAGGGGAGTATCTAAGGAACTAAAGTAAAGTCAATTTAGTTGAAGTACAGAAAGCAAGGATAATGGTACAAAATAACACTAGAAAGATAGGGCATGGAGGATTTTAATTTTTATCCTAATAACAACAGGAAATGTTAAAAGAGTTATAAATAGGGGGAGGTAACATGCTTGTGAAAAAATCTGGCTGAAGTGGGCAGGAAAGATTAGAAATACATTGATACTTGGCAATTATTCTATAAAATACCTCTTATTATTGAAAATGTTCTCATATACAAAGTTCTTACTCACCGTTCACCTTTGGTAATTTTAGATTTGAAGCCTCTTTCCCAAAATCTGCAAATTTAGAAAGAGACATTACACAATGAGGAATGGCATCCTGATCTTACCCCGTTTGAAAGGAAATCAATGGATAGATTGAACACTTCTTTTCCCACTAACATTTATCATTGATAACCATTCCCTTCTTCTCAAAAGTTGTTCCCTGGCTCCCAAAATATCCATTCTCTCCTCATTCTTTGCTTACTTCTTGGGCTCCTTCATGGTTATCTTCCACCAACTTCTTAAATGTGGCAGTTTCTAATGTCACAGATGCTTCCTTTCTCCCTAAGGGGACAAGTTAATCCCCTGCCCATCTATTCAATAAAATCCTTAATTATTAGTCTAAATTGTCCTTCTTGATCTCTTACCTACCTATCTACTATCTAGTCCTAGAATTTTTCCTAAGAACAAGTTATAGTTATACCCATTCACTCTACATACTTCCCACACAGATGCAAGTTGGTATAAAGATCTGAGGAACAAACGATAGAAATAAAATCTGTCCATTTGCATAGAAGGACTCTATTGTATTAAAGAACAGTTTAGAATGACTCACAACTAGCCCAGGTATTACCTTGAAACAAACAGAGGTTAGAATACACATAAATTATATTTGCCTTAATTTGTGTTTTTATTTGTTTTAAGCAAGATAAACAAAACAACTAACCTATAAAAAGTACTTTTAAAATAGTAGGTTTGGGCAATTTTACATGATAGCTCCCAAGATTTCTGAACTATTAATATTTTTGGCCAGATAATTATTGGGGGGACAAGGGTATTATCCTGTAAATTATAGGATGTTTAGCAGCAACCCTTGCCTCTATTCACTAGATGCCAATAGTCCTCTCGCATCATTTGTGATAACCAACACTGTCTCTAGATATTGCCAAATATTCCCTGGTGTGAAGAGGGGGGCAATGGGGGATTTGATTATACTTTTTATTTTCTATTTATTTATTTATTTATTTGAGATGGAGTCTTGCTCTGTTGCCCAGATTGGAGTGCAGTGACGCTATCTTGCCTCACTACAACCTCAGCCTCCCGGGTTCAAGCATTCTTGTGCCTCATCCTCCCAAGTAGCTGTAACTACAGGCACGGGCCACCATGCCAGGCTAATTTTTGTATTTTTTTAGTAGAGACGGGATTTCACCATGTTGGTCAGATTGCTCTCAAACTCCTGACCTCAGGTGATCTGCCCGCCTCGGCCTCCCAAAGTGCTAGGATTATAGATATGAGCCACTGTCCCCAGCCTGATTACATTTTTTAGCTGAAGCTAAATTTAAAGGCAGGAAATGGCTTTCTAAATATGGGGTAAAAATCCATCTCAGTACATTCAAGCTGAGGGTATACAGATGGATCAGGTAAATCTTTGTAAATAAAGTAAACAACAACTCAACACTTACAATTGGCTATAGAAATAAACATTAGTTTTTCAACAATACCTTGTACTTTTCAAAGGGCCTTTCATCCAAAAACAGAAAGCTACAAAACCATTAAGACTTCTCTAAAACACATGAAAGGAAAAGGATTAACTTTGAAACAAAATTATTCTTCAAAGCCATGCAACAAATATATAAATACTCTGAGACCAATTTTACAACCCAGGTCATCAGATCACCCAGGAATTTGATACTGTAATGACTAAATCTCTGTGGGCACATATAACGTATAGACCTGAATATGGTCTACAGTAAAGTGTCCAACAAGTTTATGATGTGATTTAGGGACCAAGTATTAAGACTTAAATAATACTTGGTAAAATAGTTTGAAATCCTTGGATAAAAATTTAGAAGAACAGTAATATCAAACATTTGGACTAGAAAGCCCATGGCTGACCTCCCTAAACTAAAAAACAACAACAACAAACAAAAAAACAACTAAAAACTAAATAAAATTCAGAAGAAATTTTTTATACAAGCTGCTGGTTATCTGTCAAATCAACTCACCTTCAACAAAGGAGTCATCCATTACTTCTTGAAGTATGTTATCAGTAAAAGAAAGCCTATCAGTGTTTTCAAGTACATCTGGATTTTTGTCTCTGTCAAACTGACAATTTTCTTTCATGGAGTCCAATGTATTGATAGTCTCATTCAATGCTACAAACAGAGAATATATATACAACATGTAATTCAGTCCATGGATCTAAATCTTTTGAGCATAACAATAAAATTGATGGCCTCTTTGAGATCTACACTGTCAAATAAGGCAGTCACCAGCCACATGTGGCCATTTAAATATTTAGAGTGGTCCATCCTCTACTCTTATAATTTCCTATAACCCTACTTCAATAGTTTTCTCCACTTCAATAGCTTTCTATTTGTAGCTCTAACAGCTAAAAATAATCCTTTTCTTTATTCTTAAAATTGATTTGTTAAATGTCTGGGTTTGAGGTGAGCTATTCTGCTACAGACAAAAGTATGCTAAAGTTTCCCTAGTTATTCTGTTGATAAGTGCACCATTTCAGTAAAGTCCCCCTATTCCTCATAACTCCTCCTAAATGCCAATTTTTCTCTTTCCTTCCCTGCATCCCTTGTTTCTGTCAGCTAACTTCACCCATTTTAGAGAATCCTCATAGCCTCTTAAGTTTAGCACAGTAACAAACATTTGGACTAAGAAGACCATGGCTGACCTCCCTTGATTTAAAAAATGTTAACAGTTCACATTTCCAAAGTATATTTCTAAAAAGGCATCTCTCAGGATTTTGTTCTATGATATAATCAATTGTCATTGGTAAGAAGTTTCAAAAACAGGTCAGTGAAGAACAGTTGAAGGGATATTTGAGTCCAGAGAGAAGATTCATTTAGTGGGAAGGAAAGAGAATATGTGAGTTATTTTGACATTTCTGGAAGGCAATAAATGGGAGGAAGAGTCCAAATGTTAAATATGGTTCCAGGAAATTTCCACCAAATATGTGGAATAATTTTCTAGTTCTATAGCTGTCAAAAATTATAGAATGAGCTACTTCAAAAAGTCATAAGGACTTCCAAGAGTGAAATGAGTGAATGTACGTTACCTAGCCTATCCCTGCAACCAACTAATTTTGATTTTGATTTTTAAATAGTAAATACAAAAGTTGAGGGAATTCTGTCTCTAATAAACTAGGGAACTATCAAACCCTCTATTACAGTCCTCATTCTCTGACAAAAATAAAATACAACTAGATATAAACAACAAATTTAAGGCAACAATGGCATTTAAATTGCTTTGAAATTTGGCCGGGTGTGGTGGCTCATGCCTGTAATCCCAGCACTTTGGGAGGTCAGGAGTTTGAGACTAGCCTGACCAACATGGTGAAACACCGTCTCTACTAAAAATACAAAAATTAGCCAGGCATGGTGGTGTGCACCTGTAATCCCAGTTACTCAGGAGGCTGAAGAAGGAGAATCCCTTGAAACCGGGAGGTGGAGGTTGCAGTGAGCCAAGATTGCGTTACTGCATTCCAGCCAAGGAGACAGAATGAGACTCCATCTCAATAAATAAATTAAATAAATTGCCTTGAAATTTAAAGTTTCCTCCTAAATAACTCTTAGATCAAGGATAAAATCAAAATGTAACTGGAAATATTTATAAAATAACTATAATAATAGCCTAACAAGTCAGAGACTGTTAGATACCCCAAAGTTTCACTAAAATGAAAATCAACTGCCTTAAACATGTTTATTACCCAGTAAAAAAAAAAAAATAAAGTAAATAAACAATTTAAATAAGAAATTAGAAAAACTATTAAATGAGCATAAGGGAACAATATAAAGGACTTACTAAAGATAAAGCCAGAAATTAATTTTTAAACTATAAATAGAAATACTAAAGATAAACCCAAGAGCTAGTACTTTAAAAATAGAGATAATAGAACATTCAGTAGCAAACAAAGAAGAAAGTTATATATATACATATATATATTTAAGAATGAGAAAATAACCATATATACAAAAAAATGAGAAGAATTAGAAGTGCACAGGGCTGTCCTAATAGTCTAAGCCATTTTAAATCTCAATAAAATTTAAAATTTCCTAGAAGAATCAAATAACCAAACTGACGAAATGAAACAAAAGATGGCAAAAAGCAATCCACCAAAAACAAAGCCAAAAAATCAAAAATAAACTAGAAAAAAACCTGAAATGGGTAAGACAAAGTATTAATGCTCCTATCAGAATTTTTAATAAATAATAGCCGCTGTTGATAAAGGTGTGAATTTCCACAAACCTTTAGGAGGGTAATTAGGCAGTAGCTTGTTAACATTTTACATCTAAAAATACTTTGGCCCAACAACTCCACTTCTAAGGAATTTGCCCTACAGAAAAATTGGTGTGTAACGTGCACAAAGATATATGTACAAGGATACTCACCAAATGTTTGTAATAGTAAAAAATAGCAATAACCCAAATATTTATTAAAAGTATTGTGGACAAAATTATAGTTCATTCCTCTAATAGAACATTATGCAGTCTTTTAAAAGAATGAGGTAGGTTTACATAATATAGTGGAACACAGAATTATATCTAAGATATACTGTCATATATTGCATTCAAGTTGTGCAATATTATGGACAGATGTAAAGAAGAAAGCCTAAAAGGACATTTATGAAACCTTCACATGGATATTTCTGGAGGGTAACATTAATGTTACAAGAGACTTGCACTTTATACTTCTTACATTCCTGGTCATTTGAGATTTTTACAACATTAAAAAGAACCATTCATTCATATATAATAACGGTGTCTTATTTTAACTATTGGAAAAGATCATAATCTTGTTATTTGTCCAATCTCCAATCACAAATGTACAATTCTGAAATTTCAAAATAAAATGCAGGAAGTTCCCCATGACTGAAAGTGTTCAAGTACACATGAAGCAAACATTTGGCATAGATACTATAAAGAATATTTAAACACCAAATTTAGTGTTTTACTAGATGAACTTTGAATAAGTTCTGTATCGTTGCCTTCTAACAGTTTTACCATAAAGCTCTTACCAATATAATTGGAAAATTTCTGGGTGTCCCTCAAAGCCCTCATACAGTCTTTAATGTTCACCATGTTATCTTCTGCAAGGAAAAGAGAGAGATGACAAACAAGAACCCCTGGACAAAGTAATGCTTAAAGGCTAGTATCAAAATCAGCATATGGCTTATATATTTCTTGAACATTTTATTTACAAGGTACTTCTAGATTCAATTTCATACATTAAGCCTCACAATAACCCTACAATGTTGTAGGTATACTAGTTCTGATTCTACCTATAATGGGAACTGAAGTACAAACAAAGCCCCAGTAACTCTGACCAGTAATTCCGTCAAAGGTGGCAAAGCTAGAATTTCTATTCACAGAACTTGAATTTCTAAGATGTTCTTCATTCACTAAATCAAGATAGCAATGAGGACAAAGGATTCTAACAAGCCCACTTCCACAAAATCTAGACCTGCTTGTATAAAAGTATTCTCATAACTGCAAAAGAGGAAATTAAGAGGAAAGGCTCCGTTTCCAAGATTACATTTATAGTAAGATAAGCAAATACCTATAGACCTTGCACATCTTCTTTACTCATTAAAAAAAACAAAACAAAACAAAACAAAAACCTGAGAGTAATATTTAAAATGCTTACCAGAAACAAAATCTGATTGAAGAATTTTCTCTACCTCTTCTTTAGGTGACTTAATCCCAATATTTCTTAGAAAGTCTTCCAAGTTCTCCTCAGCTATCATGTCACCTTCAAGCAAATCAGCAGCTAAGACAACTTCCTGTAACTCTATAAATAGAAAAAAAGTTAATTGATAAAAAGCAGTAGCCATCACTCAAGACATTTGTTAGTGGAAATCCATAGTTTATTATTATATTCTGAACTGAGGAATAAGAAATCTCAGAGAGAAATTTATCTCTTATAGCATTCTATGGCCAGCAGCCCAATGTACAGAGTTCTCTTGATCTATCACATTTCTCTGGTGCGTTTATAAAACTTGCACAACCAAAATCACTCATATAGCTGAACTTTTCACGGCAATTATACAAAGTAATTATTTTGTTGTGGACCTCTAATGGTAGCAAATAAAATTATTTAGATATAGGAGAAATAACTTTCAGAATTATGAAAAATGTAAAATATGGGACAAGATTTACAAGGGCTCATTCAGTTTTTCTTTTCAATTCCACCAGGACTCAATTGTACCCTAGCATCTGGAATGTTGCTTTATTTCCAGCACTGGTTAAGTCAGACCAACATTCAAATTCTGGCTCCAGGATTTGTAACCTGGAACTGTGCAACTGTGAGCAAATTATTACTACTTAACATCTCTTTCGTCTAAAATGGGATAATACTAATATCTACCTCACAAGGTTGATGTGGAGAGTAAATATAATAACGTATAAAAAGTACTTAAGACAGCATTAGACATATAATAATGCCTCAATAAATGTCATATTTATAGAATAAAATTAGTTTTATTATTATTATTAAAGTCAACAGAAACTAGCTGCAAATAGTAATCACAGTTTAAGCCTTACGTCCTGCCTCACTTTCTGTTCCTCTAACATCACTGGGAGGCAACTACAGATGGCAATCTGAGCTTTGCTGACACCCAAAAAACTTGTATCAGCTCTGCTTTCTTGCCTTAGCACTTGATTTCCTTTAAAAACAGTTTCTTTGCACAACCACCTTGAGTAGTCTGCTCATGCTCCCATGTTCCACATACTGTAGGACCAGGAAGCAGAATAGCACTTTCCTGTCTTTCTGCTGCTGCTGTCAGGCCATTTTAATTCTACCTTCAATCAAACCTTATCCCTCTCCCTTGAGGCTCAGGCCTGTTATTCAACTATGTCACTCTCCTGACAACAGTATTGATTACTGTCTGATCACTCCTTCACATTCTCTGAGGATTTTGGCACTTTGATCATCATCCTCCTTCTACCTCTCATCCCAATATCATCCAATGACAATAAGGATGAGCCTGGCCTCAGAGCACTTTGACCTCTTAACTTCAAAAGGCCTTTATTTCCTTTCCAAAGTCATCCACACCAATGGCTACCCTTAATCCTTATCATTTCCTGGAACTGTCTATTCCACCTCTAAAATCTTAAATTACAAGGTCAGACACTGACCATATTCCCTTAAAATTACATGTGCAGATACAGAAAGAAGGCATAGAACCTCAAACTATGCCTATTCTCTTGGCTCCTCCAAGTTCTTTAACAAATAGTCTAGACAGAGTAAACCAGCTTTATCAGTTAGTAATGAAGGATACATTCTGAAAGCCAAGTTCCTATATGCCAGTCAATGTTTCATCAAAACCAAGTTTCATCTGTGTATAAACATATCAATGCCAACATGTTAACCAGAAATTAGGTGAACACACAGCATTAAAAAGAAAAACAAAAATAAGTCCTTTCAATAAAAGTAAACCTAACCGTTATAAATAATTCAGTACTTACCTTCTAACCTGGCAGCATCACGCATATTCCTTACTACTTGTGCAAATTCTTCAAATTGTACTTTGTCACCTTCTATGAGAAAAAACACTTTTAATAGACCAACCTCATTAAGCAAAAGTCAGATCCAACAAAGCAACCTATAAAAATGTAAACCATTTGACGCACTCATAAGAATCATATTTCCTTTTCATATTTTTGAGTAACCAAAGGATTGATTTTATGGGATTAATAAATATTAAGACTACAGAAGTCAGGCTGATGGCTGGGCAAGGTGGCTCATGCCTGTAATCCCAGCATTTTGGGAGGCTGAGGTGGGTAGATCACAAGGTCAGGAGCTCAAGACCATCCTGACCAATATGGTGAAACCCCACCTCTACTAAAAAATACAAAAATTAGCTGAGTGTGGTGGCGTGTGCCTGTAGTTCCAGCTACTTGGGAGGCTGAGGCAGCAGAATTGTTTGAACCGAGGAGGTGGAGGTTGCTGTGAGCCAAGATCTCACCACTGCACTCCAGCCTGGGTGACAGAGCAAGACGCCATCTCAAAAAAAAAAAAAAAAGGCCAGGCTGAGTTCTCAATTTCAATCAATGGAAACAATATAATCCATATTCCCAAAAGATAAACCAAGATATACTCTAGACAAAATTAAGAGACATACCTCAGTCTTAGTTTTGTCTTTCAATTGTTTAAAGATAAAAATTCTATACCAGAAAACTTTAAAGGTTTCTTTCGTGCCTGATAGGCCTATGATTATAATTTCTGATATGTGTTTACACCCATTTCTTACACAGTACACAAGTACTAGATTACAAAGTTAAAGTGACGAACACAGGAAACAGAAGCAGCTTTGTTTTCCCAGCCAGGAATAAGGAAGCTTAAGATTTAGAAATATTATAGTTTATTATCATAGACTAGAACAAAGTACAACAAGCAAAATGTGTCACCAGCAGATAAAAGCCTGAACAGGGCTTAAGTATATAGCCACAATTAACAATGTCTCACCTTCTATCTACCTTGGCTTTAAATTAACACTTGAACTTTTAGGAACTATCTTCTACAGTAAAAACACATGTCTTTATTGTAGTATTTTTGCTGCTTCTGTCATTTAGTAGAGTCCTATATATCACTAACTGTAAAGGCTCTGTCCCTGAATCTGTGTTCTCTCTCTGATGGGAGAAGGATAGAAGTGTTCATACATTCCATTCCTCATGCTTCTTTTATAGTTTTATACCATTCAGGATGGCCTTCCACTAGCCTCACATCAATCAACAAGGTTACATAATCAAATATTCTAAGACCATGTTATATAAAGACGTTCTTAATTAAGTGTCTTCAATTTACAGTAGCTTAAAGATCAGCTTAAAGTAGGCAACAGGTATTGTAACTCAGTCACCTAAAGAGAGTCCCCTCTGAATCTAATTCTTGGTATGTATAATCAAGTAGAACTAAATCACAGCTACTTAGAATTCTGGGAGGAAGGGAAGGGAAGGGAAGGAGCGGGGAGGGGATGGGAGGAGAAGGGAGGGAAAGGAAGGAGAGTGGGAAGGGAAGGGAAGGGAAGGGAAGGGAAGGGAAGGGAAGGGAGGAAGAGAGGCAAGGAGGCAAGGAGGCAAAGGAAGAAAGGAAGCAGGGAGCCATCTGAGGTCAACAGGTACTGACAACACCAACAAAATTTACAGGTGATCTAACAAAATTTACAGTTAGCTTTGGACCTATTTACCAAGGGACCCAAATCTATAAGCATGACCTGCAATCTCATTTGATCCTTTGGTTCATATAACTTGCTGAAATAGAATAGCAACTATCAATATTAGGAAAGATTTCCTGGGTATCTTTAAATAAATCCTGAGAAAAGAGATGTGAATGGATAGAGCTGCTGCCAACAATTTGTAGCTCAATTATTCTTTGCTAAACCACCATAACAGGGTTAATCACAGCTGATGCCAGGTTGCAAAGTTAGAGCCTGAAACAAAGACTCAGATCTGGCTTTAATGGATATTGCATTAAAAAATCATGAAGATAAGTTTAGAGTCTTGTTGCCAAGCCAAAAAGAAAACAAAGTTATTAAGCTAATTTCAACCACATCAGATAACAGAGTCAGGAGAAACAGAGAATATCAGTTTAAGTTTAAAAATCTAAAACAAATGAAGCTAGAGAAACCACCAGCAGAGAAGAGACTGTCCCAGGCCTTAAATGCCTAACACCACCTATTAATGATTTCCTTTAATTCTTAGCCTATGGATTCAATGTCTCACATTCACCTTGACCATTTTCCATACCATCTTACATATTTTTGCTCAACACCAACTTTCTTCACTCAGGTCTTTCAGAAGAAACAAGAGAGCTCATAAGCTATATAACTAGATATTTGGGAAGCATTTCTGAATTTGCCAAATGATAAATTACCTTTTCTATTTTTCAATGCTTTTTTTGTAATCATCATAAGATTATTTTTTAATTTTAAATATATTTTAAAATATTAAGGAGTCAATATGGAATACTGCCAATAACCAAGAACTCACTCTTCAGTTTCACTAGAGAGAATCTGAATCAGTTGTTTTTCAGGTTTGTTTTTTCTTTTTAACATAACCTGGTCAAAAGAATACCCTAGATCAGTAATTTTAATTTCTTTCTTACGTTTCTAAGGTCTTACGGAGCTGTTTCAGCAGTTCACTTGGTCATTTCTCCCACTTTGGTCAGAGAAGCTCAACTTTAATATTTTATATATTAGGAAACTGTGTAAGATTTAATTTGGAAAAAAAGCATTCTCCTTCAACTATATCAAATATAAACAAAAATAATAAATCTCAAAATTTTGCAAGCCACTGCATTAAAATAAGAACTAAATACGTTTGTACTAAGGGCACAATGTTAAAAGAAGAAATGATGTGAAAAAAGGCATACAGATACAGTTTTCAATATCACATGTATATTTAGGCTTAAATTGTAAAATCATCTGCATTTAATATACTGTCTTTTGCTTCGTAAGTACAGAATAATAAACACAGGCCTGGTGCAGCAGCTCATGCCCATAATCGCAGCACTTAGGTAGGCCAAGGTCAGAAGATCACCTGAACTCAGGAGTTTGAGACCAGCCTGGGCAACATGGCAAAACCCCGTCTCTACAAAAAATTAGCCAGGTACAGTGCTGTGCACCTGTAGTCCCAGCTGCTTGGGAAGCTGAGGCAGCAGAATTGCTTGAATCCGGGAGGCAGAGGTTGCAGTGAGCTGAGAGTGCGCCACTGCACTCCAGCCTGGGTAACAAAGCAAGAGCTTGTCCCCCCCCAAAGAAAGAATAATAAACACAATATATGAGTTTTTATTATAATAAAAATACTTTTCTAGTTATTTTCATATCTCATAAAATAATACTTTGTTGGTCTGGTTCAAATAAATGCTATCTATTACTTTCTGTGGTACATGCTGCCTATAAATTCCACTAATTTTAACAAAAGAACCTGAAGCACTGCCACAGAGAAAAAGGGAAGAAAATCTATATTATTGGGTAGAAATTAGCCTTCTTTTCTTCATCAACCCTTTTCACCTCAAATCTTCCAATAAACAAAATAATCAATACATTTAAAGCCCAAAACTGCTAGCCTCAACTAAACAGAAGCTCAATGGATGAAAAGGATAAAAAATTATTACAGAAAAAGACAATTCTTTGACAAAGACCCCTGACAGCATGCCTATGTTACTAATCTCATTCTGTATAAACATTTCACATAAAAGAATATAAACGTACTAGGCACGTTTTTAACTTCTAGACACTAAGACTATGAGAGAGTAGAAATGTCTACCTGTAGCCTATGTACTCTCCTTCCTGCATGTAGAATATCAACAGTAAATGATGGAGATTTGCTTTACATTTTTTAGTCTACAGTCTTTATTATACAATACCTTTTTGAACTTTGTTTTTATTTGTTTGCTTTTTTTTTAACTTGCTAAATAGAGGTGGTAGCTATCAGCAGGTGTGTTTTTCTGCCAAATTAAATAAAAGCCTATTTCAACAAAACAGTATGAATATTCCAAGTAGTTATTATAAAATTTGAACAGATGTCTTAACATTTCCTAATCATGTCCTCTGTGTTCATTGGGATATGCCATTTTCCAGTAACATACCACACAACTTGAAGGAACTTTGCATATTTGATCAATTTATAGTAGTAATAAATTACATAACAATATTTTTATATTGAATAGCCAAACAAGCTGAACTTTCTTTATACAGTATTTCCTAAATGCATATATTGGCATTTTAATCATATTGGAACACTCCATCTTGCCAAGTTCAAGATACAATGACAAATAAGAGTTGACAGAAAATAAAGTAATACCTTGGTATACTTTTTAATTTTAGTATTTGTAACACTCACCATCAACTGTAACTAGTTTCAATGCAGCTAGAAATTCATCCTTTTTTAAATTACTATTCAAACTAGACAGAATATTCCACAGGTCAGAAACACTCATCGTCTCCTTTCTGAGATTGTCGAGGGTTTCAATGGCATCAGGCAATACTAAAGGGTAGATAAAACACAAGTTTTACGAATGCTTATCCAAGAAGTTCACACAGTAAACTGTCATCTGGAATAGACAAAAATTAAGGTTTTTATGGTTTAAAAGAATAATAAATACAGCATAAATGAACTGCCAACTTTCAAATATGAAAACATAATAAAATATTTAGCCTCAAATATAATGTATTTTTGAGGATCTTGAAATATTTTAAGAACTTAGTGTCCCAACCCTGAATAAACATTATAAATAATAATTTTTATTGAATTTAGATTTTTAAAAGTGTGAATTCAGAAACATTTTCAATTGATAATACAATTAAGTAGCTTTTGTTCTATATCTCTCCCTAAAATTCTCCTCTGGCTCCTACTTCCTCTTCAATCTATTACTGTAGACAATAAAAAGAAAGACTATTTCAATGCAAAATCATT